TAGGTTTCGAAGATTTGAGCTACACATTCCGACTATACGTTGTGAGTGCCGCTTGATTTTCAGAAGACACCGTACAAACGCTTTGTGGGTGGTGCGCAGAATTCTTGACATTGCTGAAGTACGAGCCCATATTTTTGCTGCGTAAGAGAGCTCTGGGAGGACAGTTTAATCGAAAACGACAGAGCGGAGTTTTGGATCGGTTAGTTGGTTGGTCGCCTCTTTAAATGGGCCTAAGTCATATCTCTTTCATGTGCCTAGTTTCTGGGAAACGGTCCAGTTCTGCTTTCACATCGTTAAATTTTCATGAACTGGCTCTTCGTCCTATTCATGTGCTGCTCAATTCTTCTCTTGCCTCATTGAGTCTAATAAGCATCATCTCTACTTCACTGGTGCTCCTTGAAAGATGAAGATGTCATTCTTGTAAACAAGATTTTAACAGGAATTTTCCAGAGGCACTTCCTCGTCAACGAAAGTGTGGCGATAAACAGTTTCGACAATATTGTCTCGCGTAGTTGAAACCCTTTTCCTATCGGTATGTGAGAAGTCGGTGAAAAAGATATTTATATTTATGCCGCAATTCTGATAACAGCGTGGTAGTGCTCGTAGCCTATAAAAGCTAGAACAAGAAGCAGATAATACTTCCGACAAACTTCTGTGAATCGTAGAATGGTTTTGACGTTGTCTACGCAACAAAATTCCTGTCGGAATCTTGCTTATTTAACCGATTCTGTCTTATCCAGGGTCTTCGCTAGGCACAAAGAGATAATCTTCGCGAGCAACCTGAAGAGTACACTCAATAAGCATATCGAATGGTAGCTACGAAGATTCCTTCGGTCACCATTCTTGGGCAGGTGGACCATACGCGACGCTTCTTTCTTTCCGAAAGTGAGAAGTCACATGAATTGAAGTAGATATAATTCGTGCTCGAAAGCCAGGCTCCAACTCGAAGAAAGTCAACAGTCATTTTATCGGGTCCTGAAGCTGAATATCTCTTCGAGCTTTCTATCGCAAGTTGAACTTCAGATGATAGAATCCCGAGCGATTTTTTATCAGCGGCCATTTCGGGGTTCGATAAGAGAATTGAGGAGCGGAAAAGAATGGTATAAAACTTTCTATTACAAATCACATGTCGTGGCGAAATTTAATAATAGCTCTCTTTGGTGATCAAGGGGAATAGCATAACACAGTCGCGAAGTTCCCGACGGCACTTCTTTACATTGGTTCGTTTTTGAGCTGCTTCCTGCAACTTTTTTTGCCTATACCGGTGTAAATACGGCGCTTTTAAAGCGAGTTTGGCACAAGTTTTTTGTTCTTTAAGAAGCAATTTGTGGTTCTCAGTCGGTTCTTTCCTTATCTGCCAGCCATATGAGGAGGGATTTCATCGAGAATATCATCTTTATACAGAACTTCTTTCTTGTCCATCCAGCAGCTAATGGCTCTCTTAATGGAGTGCCTAAACTGCTAGATTTTCAGATGGTCTAGGAAATAGTTCGCGCAAATAAGGGGGTTGACAATGGGAGAGCGATTGGCACCAAGCCTTGCCATTGTGTTTATGTCTGAGATAGAAGCCCCTGTTCTTGATCTCCGGCCACTACTCTACTGCAGATATGTAGATGATTGTTTTGTCGTCTTCTCTACGCAGAAGGAGATGGACAAATGCTTTGAATTATTGAACGAGCAGTCTGAGTACATAAAGTTCACCCGGGAAAAAAACCGAGAAAAAACTGGCTTCCGTTTTTGAACGTTCAAATAAACCTATCCAGTAGCGGCTGCCTGACAAAATGGTACCGAAAGCCAAGTAACAAGAACATTCTTGTTCATTTCCTTTCTTCCCACCCTTCACACACAAAGAGTGCGATTGTGAGAAACATGTTTCGAACACCCACCTCTGTGTGCACTACCAGGGAACTAAAGGAAGAATCGCGCGACTTGGCTTGGCAAACAGCCATCACCAATGGCTACGAAATAGTAACCCCACGAGATAAGTTTAGAAGGAGAGCTACGTGTCCACTCGAAACACTTGGCCAAAAGAAAGTCCCGTTTATGTTGCCTTTTATAAGCGATGAAATAAGCGTAGCTATAAAACGATGATTGAGAAAGGCGGGTCTAGAGGAATCGGTAGCGATAGTTGAAATACCACCGGCTATGTCGCCAATTAGTTCGCAACCGCCTGTATGACCGTCTATATGAAACAACAAATTGCGTAATTTGCCCTTACGGCAGGGAGGTGATTGCATGAGTTCAGGTACGATATACCTGATCTCTTGTAACAATTGCGGAGATGAATATATTGGCGAAACGGGCAGACCTTTGTGTATCCGTATAAATGAAGACCTAGATGGCAAACGAAAACTAAGACGAAACACCCCACTAGGCACGCATAGGATACAAAAGCACAGCGGAGACGATTTTGAAGTAAAAGTCAATATCCTTGCACAGGAGTCCAAAACACCAGCGCGAAAGCTTCTTGAGGCTTTTTGGATAAATGCCAAAAACCCTACAATAAATAGCAGGGATGAATGTCCGGAGGTCATACGCGACCTGATCCCGTATGTTCGCATCGATTTTTGATGTGGGATGGTACAGTCGTCAACCACATGCGACTATAATCAGCTGATCTAAGCTTCCTCATTGGAAGTCACGAAAAAGCGGTGGGTTTTTCGAGAAGTTGTTGATCACGTAATTACCAAGGAGTTTTTCGTCTTTTTGTAAGTGTTATTGAAGCGTTTGGCCTAGTAGATTGTATATCAGTATACCCTTCCAGGCTCTGAAGAAGGCGATACTGCCGAAACGTCAGCTAGCGTTGTATTGTATTGTGCTTTTCTATGGAAGTAAGTGTATGCTGCTTAAAAACCTCGCGATTGCTGAACAAGAAAACGACGCATTCATATTCCAATGCCGAGGGTAATAGAAAGTCGATCCTGGGAACTACAACTTCTTTCGTTTTTCTTGGACGTTAATATCGGATCTCTGCGTAGAAAACGCGATAGTCAGATCCATTAGAGAATTTGCAAAACCCCGGACCGCAGGTGTATGCGGTGGGGAACGAACGCGCTATTGTCCTTTCCGGGGAGTGGCGCGGTCACCACCACACCATGCGGGTCCTTCGTTTCGCCTGTCTCTCAGCTAGTTCTATCGACCTTTTGCCATCAGCAATCACCCTGCGGTCCGGAGTTTTGCAACTATCTCAGCATCATTGAAGTTATATTTCGCAATGTATACCCTGCCGTTGAAAAGCGTAGGCAGTAAATGATAAGTTAAATTTGTGATTATTACTGCGGCCTCAGCTTAACTGGGTTCGTTGCCGATTTGGGCTCCCCAGATCAATCCCGCCGACGGGTGATTGCTGTGGCAAAGATCGATAGAACTAGCTGAGAGACAGGCGAAACGAAGGACCCGCATGGTGTGGTGGTGAACGCGTTGCTTCCCGGAAGGGGTGATAGTGTGTTCGATCCCCACCGCATACACCTGTGGTCCGAAGTTTTGCAAATATCTCAGCATTATTAAAGTAATCAGCAGCCTCAAAAAAATAGTAAAGGTCGGCATCTGAAGAAACTGCTCTGGTGTTATAGGTTCAGAACATGAAGCAGTCTCCAAGGCGTGTCTTCTGCGCGCCGTTTGGTCGGCTTCTAATAACGTCCTCTGCAACCTGAGATATGATCGCCTCTAACCGTTGTAGGTCAGAGATTGCGGCGTGCTGAGACAAGAGTTTTACTGGTTGAGCCACTGTGGTTGCTTGGAGTCTTCAGGTAAAGCGTGCCAACTCCTTTTTTTGGTCGTCATCGCTTTAGGTAGTCGCAACCCTTGTAGATTAAAGGGATATTTGCTGCCGTACGACTAGTTTAATACTAGAGCGGTTGTGATTTCAGATATAGGAATAGGTTTACTCTTAACTGGACTTCCGAATGGGAACATCGGACTCCTTCCCAGCTTGGGAAGTGTTGCTGTGGGAGGAACCTTAGCTGTACATCGCAGCCGGCATCCAGAAAACATGGAAAAGTTTAAGTGAGATTTACCAATAGCAAATGCAAAACTTCCACTAGTTGGCTTTTAATTTCAATTTTTTGGATATGGAGATCAGTAAGCGCCTTAATCACACTGTCTCTTCGCCAAAGCTTTGAAACATTTGCCATATTGGCACTGCTATCCCAATCCTAAAAGTGTCCAATTAGTAATCCGACCTCGTGAATCCACACGAACCAGGCAAAAGTTTATCTCTCCAGCAATTTGGCTGACTTCTTTGGGCCTATGACAATATCAAATCAGATGGGGCTATAATACAGTAGAATATTTCTAATGCACACTAATACATCATAGAACTTTTTTAAACGTTTAACTAGTAGAAGTAAGACTAGTTCTTCAGTCCTTGTGTTATCCTTATTCATTGAGATGCTTTAGCTATTTTAACCTTCTTTATTTACTGCCTATTCTTTTTAATGGCAGGGTGTCTTGCGAAATATAACTTCTATGATGCTGAGATATATGCAAAGCTCCGGACCGCAGGATGATTGCCGATGGCATTGATCGATAGAACTAGCTGAGAGACAGGCGAAACGAACCGGCATGGTGTGGTGGCGAGCGCATTACTCCCCGGAAACGGTGATATCGCGTTCGTTCTCCACCGCACACACCTGCTGTTCGGAGTTTTGCAAATATCTCAGCTTTTGCTTTTTTTGGCCACTTGTTAGTATATAGTGTTGTCGTTTCATCGTGATAAAAAACGTGACTGCTTCATTACAGTGTTTTCAATGTAAATTGAGCCGAATTGGACTGCACATTAATTGCTAGTGTTGCTGAGTCTTTGTTGTCCACACAAAGTTATCGCAATATTTCTCACTAACTTCGTTACATTTAACCTGACTTCAATTATTGCTCACAAAGTATTTATTTAGTAAATATTGACAAATCTTTAGTTAATTGTCATTTTTGAAATACTTTTCGTGAGTAGTCCCACTCGAATTCTACGATTTATTGCAAGTGTTACGATGTAATTCGTTGTACTAGCGCACCCGACGTAAGTAAGCTCTGCTTCTTTGTGGGCATGGACAGTATGCTGCATCATGACCGGGCAATCCAACGGATCCTGGTTGTCCAGGTTGACCATCGTTTCCTGGATGGCCACGTAATCCCGGTGAACCCTGTGGACCTGGCCTACCCATTGCACCAGGTAGGCCAGCTTTTCCAGGGCTACCAGGTCGTCCTTGGCTTCCTGGTCGTCCTTGTGGTCCCTGGGGTCCTGGTTTACCACGTCCTGATCGTCCGTCGAGACCTGGTCTACCAGGTGGTCCCATACGACCAGGTAGCCCGGGTGAACCTTTATCTCCTGGAGGGCCCCTACGTCCAGGAAGGCCATTGTTCCCGCGATTTCCTGGTATTCCAGGCCGTCCAATGGACCCAGGTGGACCTATTGGTCCTGGTGCTCCGGGACTTCCTGGCGCTCCTGGTGGACATCGAATACAGGCGCGGCTGACAGGTGGGCAGGTGAGTGGAGCGTACGTCTGGAATAAATTCATGAGTACATGACGTATATGTGACAGGTCATGGATTTATTAAGATCATACCTGCGTATTATCTCGACCAGGAAGACCAGGTCGACCTGGTGGTCCTTTGATACCTGGTCTTCCAGGAGGTCCTGGGGGACCTGGTAGACAGGTTATCTTTATGGGCTCACAATAGCACCATTCTGGAAGGCCCCGAAAGTCTTGCCGTTTTTTGCGGAATATCGATTCAAAGGGGTTTTGACGCGGCTGTGAGGGTGGAGTCACGGTGATCTGTATGTCCATCATGTCAATCCAAGCGCTATCAGTTTCCATGCGGAATAGCGCAACTGAGTCGAGAACCTGAAGCAACAATATAGGACTTGTTTTAGTTCTACACTTTCCTCTGATTACCATGTTTGTCATAGCTAAATAAACCTCGTTATTCATATTGTCACTGTTGGTAAAGTTTGCTAAAAATTGTTAATAAACGATAAACAATGACTGGTATATTTAGTCGATAAGTATTTTAGATTGTAATATTAGCTATTGTTCTAAAACTCTGAAGCGAAGAAAAATTGTCCAACTAGTTGGTTAGGAGAACATAATTCCTTCTAAGACAGTTAAACGCATATCGAAGGCGTGCACAACCTTCTCGTGTTGCTGATGGTTAAGAAGCACTGCTTCCTGGTCCGCTGAAATGTCCTATGCCTTAAGTACACATGTAATTATATTCATGCATACCTCCAGGAGTGTGTTTTCGTAGCCTGCACACTGAATCGGCCGAAAGCTAAGAATCAGTTAATTGCGAAAAAAGTCAAAGTTGATAATTCAATGTTTTTCATCAATAAGCAGACACGAGGTTGTTAATATAGAATTTATTAGAACACAATTGCTGACGTTTCGGCGGTTTCGCCTTCTTCAGAGCCTGGAAAGGTCAAATTTTCAAGTCAAAGTTGGTTTGGGATTGTCTACAACAGACAAGAAATCCGTCAGAATCGATAAAATGAGGCAGGCGGGTTACTTATACGTGTACCAACTCCCTTCTCTGTACAACATCATGCGAGACTATCCTTGCTCATCCTCTAGTCCAAAGTAGTCGAAATGAAGGATCCTTCATGGAAATTGCACCACACTTCTTATTTGTCGTCTACAGCTCAGGCATTTGGTGTTTGTAACAGAGGGTTAATAGGCGTAAGGTTGAATTACTCGTTGAATAAAGGAGCTACACATGATAGAGACGACAGCTGATACGTTATTCGAAAATTGTGCGATGAACATGGATCAATATACGTCCATGTCTACGACATCAGTGCTCGCAGCAGTTTCTCAACCAAGTAGTGTCGCAAAACTTAGATAAAGGGTGAAGGATAAAACAACTAGTGTTTGTCCACTAAGAACCGTTCATTCGACTTCATAAGGAATCGTAGTAGTGGTTGAATGCATATCCGAATCATAAAATAAGTTACGGTGGCCTCCGGCTGTATCAATTGGTGTTTTTATTCCTTTTTGTCAAAACAAAGATGGTTCCAATTTTTCGATCCCGGAGAGATGAAAAGGTGGTTCGGCCCGGGGCGTGGAGATCGAGCTAGAGACGGATCCAGTATGTTTTGCAGTGTACCTCTGACGACCGTGTTACATCCGCCTCCTCATGGGAAGGAATCAAAAATATTGTGCAGCAGATTTTCCTGGCAATAAAACAGTTTGAATTTCTTACTCCTGCTAAAGTGCTTTTAAAAATTTTTTTTATCTAATAGTTTGTTGCATAAATAAGAATTGCAAATTTCAGCGTTCAGTTCGTCCTATGAAGAAATTCATTTCCAAGGTTTCAACCATTGTAACACTCACCCTTGCTGTAAATGCTTAAAAATGCTACTTAGTTTATAAAAAGTGTAGAGATAATGTAGTGTACCTGATCATGTACTTCGTTAATTTCATAATACAGCGATGACAGTACGGCCAAGCACGCACCAATAGCCAGTAACGAGCAGATAGATGCAGCTCCCACGACCACCTTCTCTTTGAGCATCTTCGGGCCGATCACAGATCTTAGTCGTTTCCTTTTATATCCTCTGATGGCGACTCCGCCTAGTTTTGAAATGAATGCGCCGCCCTCTTTTTGCCCACCCACTCTGATTTCGCGTTTTTCCCACTGATAGTGCTACGCCTAAAGATTTGGAAGCTAATGTCACCATTGAATTTTGATGGTGTTGTCAAGTTTTTATTTCGCTCATATCACAAAACCAGTTTATCGTTATTAGTCGACATTTTTTTGCTCGATGTAGAGTTCAGCTGCAACGTCGTTTCTGTGTAACATGTACAGGTTTTCTCCAGGAGTGAATTATTGGATAAAATCAGACAAATATGTCTAATTGTTGCGAGATGGGTGTTGGCATTTATAATGGAAAAAATGGAGATATTTCCTTTGGTAACAAAGGTTCCACTGAAAAAAGTCGTTTTCCTTTTTTACTGTAACATTAAATATGTGTGCTTCAACCTCTACGAACATTTAGACCTCATAGGTTTACGCAATCGGCCATAAAAAAGACACATACATTAATTGAAGTCATTCTCGCGAAATGGAGAGAGGTGGAATGAACAGCGAAAGTACGCGTTTGGTTTAGGCGACATATTTTTCGTTGAAGTGAAATTGTTGATTATTACAGATCTTAACGAGAACGGTTTAACGCCTTAAGCCTAGGACACAACTTAATCTCTCAGTAGTCTCTGAATAAGAGCAATGGGTCTATCCTCGGTTTAATAACGATGAAGAATGCAAGAAAGTGACACTCTAGGCACGTGAATTATCGTCTGTGGTGGTCACTACCAGTGCGCGGGGTGAATAAAGTGCAATACATTTGACTTGAGGAAAAGGAAAACAGCTGCTTTCAAATTTGAAGAGATATATCTCGGATCATGTAGAGGTTTTTTCTGAATGGAATGAAAACAACTAGATTTTACAGACCTTTGCCGAAAAGATGCAAGTTGTTTTATTCAACCAAGGTAAAATTCTGATTTTTCAGAGTCCGGGGTACACGTTTCTTTCGTTTCCTTTTCGCTTCAAACCTCATGTCTCAAACATGAAAGCAAACATAAAGAGTGATTCTACCCACTTGAACACAATGGTATCCCCGAATATATCGCTTATATTTGCACCGGATAGTATTTCTTTGGAAGTTCCTGACATCGAATTTCTTCTGCAATTAAACCCTAATTCTAGGAATGTTTCAAATTAAAGGGATACTACATAAAAATTAAATATTTGCGATTAAGGCAGTAGTCTTCGTAGTTTCCAACTAGTCAAATAATGTAGTTGTTGAGTAATAGCTGGTAGTTCTCGAATAACAGGCTTTGGGTGTTATGTGTTCGTCTACTCTGATGGCTTCTTATCCGTGCAAGTGCAGGTTTTGCGGTTTCCATTGAGAGTTTAAAAAACGCTCATAAAGGTAGTTATCTAGTTTCGAGAAGACAACGAAATTGTGCCGCGCGTGATAAGAAGAAAAAGGAATTTGCTATGATGTCAAAGCACGACCTTCATGTTTTTGTTCAAGGTGGATTTAATGATTATGGATCTCCTCATAACCTTATTGAGTAGGCCCTGAAAGTGTCTTCTAACTTCATGTGGTCACAGAACGATCTTTCTTATCATAATTTTTTGCTTAAACAAATTTTCTGCTTCTGAAAAGATGTACAATATTCGCCCATGTATCTTGAACTTCTTAATTATTGATTAAGATTCTTCTTTATGCGGGCTTTTTTCAGGTCTGCATAAGAAGAGTAAAAGGAATGGGAGAGCTTGATTGAAGCAGAGCGCGGGTAAGCCAATGGCCTTCTATATATTGCAGGCACTTCTGACCACTGCGGCTTACATTAGAAGATTAATTGAGCGTCGGAACTACTGAGTAGTCTTACAAGAGGTAAGAATTTAATTGAGTTCTGTGATGGATCTACTTTTTTCCACCGTGATAAATACGTTCGTAGTCGGCATAAACGAACAAAAGATTTAAGGATTTTGCTGCATTTATTGGAAAGCAGAAAACAAGATACCGTATCCAATGAAAAGAATAAACTGAAAAGTTACGGTTTCAATGATTCCATTAACCAAAGTCTGCAGCCAAAGCCAAAGTTTTAATACATTTTGTTGTAAAAGGTATGCTAATTAAGATAACTATGGGGTAGATGGTATTGGGCGATGGTTCGAAACAAAATTTTTCATACCGTTTCACAATGAAAAACCCCAACGGTTTTGATTTTTTTTAGAACTTGCTTTATTCTATTCCCACTTTATGAGCTTATTGCTTTTCTTAGAGCCACCCTCTGTGAGGTCCTATGGCGAGCACCGAAAACAGGCATTTGTGCTTTTTTTGAATATATAGTATATCTCAGAATCTCTTTTAAAGAAGGTCTCAATGTGTTTTTGCTAAAGACGTCGCCTAGATAGGTTTCACTAGTCGAAATGACAGATTTGATCCAATATGTCGCACAAAAAACTTAACTATGATGCTTTCGCCGTTTTGATGCAGTTCTTTTCCTGAAAGGAAAGAGCACAATTAACTGAGTTTCAACTGAAACATTAATGCGAAGCCTTATAGACTGCATTCATTGCCACACTTTGAAACGCTGGACCACTTGTCAGTAACAATTTCGCCACTGGTTGGTTGCGGTTTTTTGAGGGACGACAAATGCCACGGCGATTATGCGCGGCTTTTCTGGCGAACCTAGTGGTGATTGCGCTGCGCTAACTGGTTGTCTTTAATTGGTAAGTAGTGTCAGAATTGAGTCGCTTACCTCCAAATCATAACGACGTCGAAAGAAAAGTAAAAAAGTGACACAAAAGGTTACCACTAAGGAGAAATTACTTCTCTCTCTCTCTCTCTCTTTCTCTGCCTCTCATTTCATCACTGCCTATTCTATTCGAGTCTTTTCTTATTATTTATTATATATTTATTAAGTAATTACTATTGTTTATCAACGCAATAACGACCACTGAACAATTACAATGCTAACAAAAGGCTAAACTGAGAGATCTAATTACTCCTCTTAGAAGAGAAATCTCTATTATAATGACCTCATAAGGGCGCGTAGCACAATGGTAGCTGGTCATCACGTGCAAAGGGCTGGTTCGATCCAGCTCCGGGCTCACTAAACTCTTCACCCCTTGGAGTCGAAAAATTGATACCTGATTTGTCCAGGAAAAAATCACTCTGTGCAATATTCTCCAGCACGGATATATGAGGACGCCAGAGAGAATCGACTCGACTAGCATTCTACAACGTTCATGATGGAGAGAAAATCCTCAAGCAGCAGCCGAGAGCATACGTAAAAGCTGGAGGACCATCGTGGATGATGGATGCGAGTAAAAGAATCGAATGCAAGAAGTGCTAGGATCTGCACAGCTTATGTGTAAGATAAAAAATAAGAACAGTATCCTCACTAATGAAAATTTTATGCACAATTACCATAATTTCGTTATTAGCTTGGAATTCTAACTCAATAAGTTCTCGAGTGGAGTCCCACCTGTAAAAAGACGGCTCTGAGGAAGGCGAAATAGCCGAGCCGTCAGTCAGCGACCAACAACACCAACAACAAAACAACGACAGAGACAACAAAAACCTATACCAAGCTCGCATCAGCTCAGCAACGTCAGTTTATAAGATCATGTTAAGAAATATATCAACTATTTATGCCGAGTCTCTTAATAACTCGAAAGACCGACTTTCTATGAACCTCGGCATAAATAGTTGATATATTTATTTATGAGATCTTATAAACTGATCTTCTTAAGCTGACGCGAGGTTGGTATAGATCTTCGTTGTCGTTGTCGTTGTCGTTGTTTTTGATGTTATTGATCGATGGCTGACGTTTCGGCGACTTCACTTCCTTTACTTGCTTATTAAAACACATAAGCTTACTTCAACTGATGATATTACATCAACAAACCCATCATCATATAAAGTTAGACCTATCATCAGTTGTATAGGCGGGCCAACGGATAGAATAACGTGGTTCCTAAACCTTATCCTAACCCAGCTGCTAAAATTCATTCCAACCCATCTACCTAACACCAAAATATTTCTAGATCACCTAAGGCGCGC